TCATGTAACTGATGGAACGACGCGCTTTAGTTTTTTAAAAAGATCAAGCAAAAAGCGTGACATTGCCATTGTGATAAAATGAGTGCACCGTCGGCCTCACTTTTGTCAGTTTAAGTATTGTTGCTAGTTACTGACGTAAATCAAGCACCTTTATCTCTTGCCTTTTACCTTTTAATTTGCTCAGGAGTGCGCAGGTACATTAAACGCTGTAATCTCATTGCCAAGCAAAATTACTTTTCCCTCGGAGAGTATAGGCTGACTCATTTTATGATAATCACGATATGATTGAGGTTGTTATTCGGTTAAATGTTCTTTTCCTATGACACCTAGCGTCCAGGAAAGCTTGGAAAACCATTTCAAGCAGCATCCTATTCCTATCAAGCCATCGGCGGAGTTCATTAGCGAGATTGCGGTTAGTACAAGTGTTTCCAAAAACTTGAACCCAGGAAAAGCAAGAAGCCCGCTTTAAGGTCCGAGTTATCAGTCTGTAATTTATTAAACGGATTATTCGGAGAGCCTTGAACACAGGCAATAAGACTGGGCCCGTTCATATAGATGCTTTTATATGTACATTAATTAACTTTGTTGATAAGGACGTCATGCCTGTCGTCGTCTTTGTTGTTGTTGTTGTTGTTTTTTTTGCACGGTTAAAAAAAAGGAGGAGGAATCGTGTCCCGAGTAGCTAGAACGCTGGACTTGCAATTCTGAGGCGCCGAGCTCAAGTCGCGCTCTGACCGCTAGCTGAATTTGTCCTCTGAAGTCCAGAGTTCCAATCCACGGCCACTCTAGTAAAATAGCCAACTGGTTCTCCTCCTACTTTGGGATTTTTAACCATGTTATGTTTCCTTTAATTATTTGTTTCATTATTCCTTGAAAAGCCCCACAAGGGGAGAAGATGATAAAAGTTTATTAGTTGTTGTTGTTGTTTTTATTTTTTGTTTCAAACATACCACGCATACAGGTACACAGTTTAATTGGAATTATTTCGAATGAGAATACAGTTTAAATTCTCTCAGATTATTCCTTCTCACTGTTGTTATTTTCGTCTCCAGGGAGCCTCTGAGAGAGACATAGTACATTCTGGTTTGGAGTTCACAATGGAGAGATCCCCAAGGTACGTCGTACCCTTAACACCACGTGATCACAATAAGGGCGAGCGAAGGCTAAGCTTTTCCTATACGTTTGGTCAGCAGAGAAAATAGAGAAGAACTAGGGCGACTAGAAAAAGCGATTATTGTGTTAGGTACAAGGATGAAAGAACTCTCCTATCCGCCCTCTTAGACTCTGGCAGAATCAAAGTTCTCGCGCGCATAAGATGTCAATCCCCAATATTTGATATGGAAGATTCAGTCTGAGTTTGATTAGCGGTCTTTAGCCATGGTAGTGATTAGAGTAATCTTAGAATTATACAACAATGGCGGACTACATTTAAATGATTGAATTGAGGTAGCAGTGCGAAAAATGAAGTATAATGAGTTCCACTGTAGGATGATTGCTTATAACAAACCAGTTGCTTATGACAAACCTTCGTTCAGGTCTGTGGACGCACTTCCCTCTCATGTGTTCGCGTGCCTTAATAGGCCATTACCGATCGAGTTGCTGCAAGCCTCTGTTTTAAAGCGAGGCTAAGTACTAAGCCAAAGCTATGAGAATGATTTTTTATTCTCATGAAAATGAAACTCATTATTACTAGAAAAGTTTTCTACTAAGCATCGTATCAAAAGTGAGGGTTTTTAGCACTGGAAAATGGCCTATTCCCTTTTCCCCTTCTCCTTCAAACTCCTCTCATGCAATCTTTGTACGAAGCAGCATATTGTGTTTGTAACTAACTTTTTTGCTGTTGTCGTTATTATCTCTTACTAGCTATATGACTGAGTTCATAAGCTGGTGAAATAAAGTGATCCTGTGTTTTTATTGGCTACCCGATCTGGCAAAATGGACCCACTTTACAGCTCGGAATTTCCCACGTTGGTCCTGCAAGCTAACGGTCTTTTCGCGGACTATAATATAGCCTTTATTCTCGGCTCGCACTGTCACGCAATGAAAAATAAAAATGCAAACCATTCAATACAAAAGGACTAGAATCTGGGAAATGAAAAAACATAAATATACAAAAACCCTTGCCAAGAATCAGGTCTGTGAAATATTTCAAATGCGAGATATTGGGAAAAACGGTTTACCTAAATTTATAAAGTTTTGTATGGAAACGCCATGTTGGTGTCCCTTTCAGGAACACCAATATGGCCGCCGGATACCATCAGACACATCTGTTTTCGAGTTCTCCTACTAATGCGTGAATTCTTCGCTTAAGGAACTCATAAAGATTACAGTAATATTTATTCTGAGACAAGGGATGTTTAGATTGCAAAATCTCCGAAAATCGGTAATGTTTTTAACCCACATAAGAGCTTTCCCGGCCGCCAGCTAAATGCCGCGTCACGCAAAAGCCTGGAAATTCAAGCGTCCTCTCTCGCAAAACGAAGAACCCTTTCGAACCAAAAATTTGTTTATGTAAAGGGGTTTAGGTACTGTAATACCTCGTGAAAGTAGAAACTCAAAAGAATCGATAGTTTCTTAGTTTGATTTTTGGTGACGTCACGTGCAACCCTAGAATTGACCATCGTGTTCGTTAAAGATGGCTGGATATCATTAACCTCGACATCGTCGCGATCTATGATACGCAAGAAAGAACCTGGCCAATATCCAGCCATCCTGCTAGGTCAATAACGAATATTTCTTTAACAAAAGCAAAGGACGTGATTCTAACGGCAGTTTTCTCTCCTCAGCAAATTATGCGCTGGGCTGAAGAGTACAACCTTGGACTAGACATCAGGACAGCGGCTTACATCGTGTCCACGGAGAAAGTCTACAACACTTACACTGAGGCTGGCTTCACATTTACATAGTCCCTGTAAATGACCAATAACGAATTAGTCTAGCTGATTATTTAACAGGATTAGAATTATTGAACGTGCTTGATATTTATTGGAACCGGTTTTATGAGTCATTGGAGATGGGTTGTCTGTGGTTTTGGACCCGAGTGGCAAGTACGGTCTGCAAGTACGGTCTGCATTCTATTGACGGACGGAAAAAATTAAATTGTATGGTTATGCTTTTTTGTGGTCATGTTGCATGAGACACGAAATTTTACCTATATAAAATGTAGTGTCAATAAAGTCAATATATTTCATTAAATGCGTCTCAATTTCCCATATCGCTTAACTTTACAAAAGATAATGACGGCTATCGGTCTCTGCAATGTGACCGCAGTTAACATAATTTTGGATGAAAAGTTAAGTAACTTTCAACTTTGCAACCGATGAGTTGAAGCCTCTATGCTTTGATTGTCAAGTTGTTTAAGTTGCCTGGCAGAACGGTTGCTTCCTTTTACCATCTTCGCTGTGTGGTCTCTTTTTTTAGTTAGGTTACTTGTGCTGTCGTCCTTTTTTCTTTTCTCTTTCTTTTCCTGTTATTTCAAATAACAGGAATAATGTATGGCAATTCCTTCATTCGTTTTAAGTTCCGCTTTTTTTGAAATGTGTAGTTTCAGAAAATATTCATACCGCCTACGGAAGGCAACGGAAATTCTGAGCGGATGGGGGGCAAAGGAGGCAGTTTCCGAGGGGGTGGGGCTAGGGTCTTGTGGTCAATATTTTATGCGTTTATCTCGAAATAATTGTCGGCGAGAAGTTCAGAACAGAATATCCCTATAAGCGACCAAACTATGCAGCAACTTAGAAGCACGCTTTTTCGACACCGCTTGGGACAGATTACTTAAAACATCTACTCTTAGTTCTTCTTCTTAACTTTCATCATGGAACTTTCCTTTTCTTTATTTTCACTCTCGTGCTTTTCTTTGACCAAATCTATTTTTCTGTTCATTTTGACGAGTTAACATAGAAATGAAGAAAACATAAAAATTAGAGGGTGGTGGCGGAGGAGGGGGAAGCTTTTGAAATCTGGTATTGATGGAGGGGGAAGAGGAAAAAAATAGAAATGTGGTGGAGGTGGTGCAAGAAAAACAATAGAAATGTGGTGAAGGTGGTGGATAGAAAATAACAGAAAGGTGGTCGTGGTGGTAGATGGAAAACAATAGGAATGTGGCGGAGGTAGTGGTGCAGGGAAAGAATAGAAATGTGGTGAATGTAGCGGATGAGAAACCACAGAAATGTGTTGGAGGTTGTGGATGAAAAACAATAGAAATAAGGTGGTGGTGAAGATAGTGGACGGAAAGCAATAGAATTGTGGTGGAGGTGGTGGTGCAGGGAAAACAAACGAAATGTAGTGGAGGTGGTGGATGGAAAACAATAGAAATGTGCTGATAGTGTGTGTGTACATGTGTGTGTGTGTTGGGGGGGAACAATGAAATGTGGTGGAGGTGGTGTTGGATGGAAAACAGTAGAAATGCGGTGTTGGAGGACGAAAGAGATAGAAATGTGGAAGTGGTGGTGAAGGAGCCTCAAAGGTATAGAAATGTGGTGGAGGGGCTCTTAGCACTGGTATAATATGAAAAAATTTTCTTTTTTATCGAATACCAGGCGCGCATCAGAGGTTTGGATTCTGCAGTTTCTGAATCTGATACGCCGGTAAGCCATATAAAGTCAATGCGGCTAAAGGCATGTATTTGAAAACCGAGATGCCCCTGGGGAAGAGGTTGCTGTTAAGCGTGATGTCGACGTAACGGCGTCAATGGATACCTCGAACACAAAATAATTTCGCGATGGGTCGGGAGGGAGGGGAGGGGGTTAGGGCCGACAAAAGTAAGTAAATTCTCGTTCTATTTTGTTTAATTACAGGAACGTTCCCTGACTAGACCTTTTGGAAAGAAGTCTAAAAGATGTGGTTCGAAGTAAAGGTCTAATATAAATTAATAGGTTTCATTTTTCTTTAAACGTTAGCCATCATCGCTTTTCTCAGTACACAGTGCCTTAATTATAGTCCCCCCGGGAACAGAACTTCCGTGCAGAAGGGGCTTAGTCGAGCGAGTTTATCAATTCAAAATGTCTTCAATAGGCTACCGAGGCTTACTCTATAGAGTTAGCCAAGAGCTTATCGATTTAAAAAAGATAAATCAGATTCTCTACGCTTCTAGCAGTGAAGGATTAATCTCTGAGAACAGTGAATCATTCAACGTCCAGGTGAATCCAGGTGACAACACTGCCGTAACCGTAATGAAGCTCTTTTCAGATTTGGAAGAAGGTGACAATCTTGGACTTGATAATCTCGAGATACTGAGAGATCTTTTAAAGGGAGTAAAAGAATGGTCTCTTGTCGACGAAGTTGATAAATTCGAGAGACAAAGAAAAGATTTCAACACTCTTTTAGAGGCAATTATTCTTAAACTCGACGAGCTCGACAACTTGGATCAACTATTGTCACTGTGCGAGGATCACATCTCAGACGATGCTAAAGACGACATAAAAGACGTTCGTTCACTGGTTAAAGAACTACAGAGAAAGAACCGCCTGGGTGTTGCGCGACTTACGGTTCTGAGGAAGATCTTAAACGAGACAGGACAGCAGGAACTATTAGATTTGTTAGCAGAGTTTGAGAAGAAGTGGAAAGAGGAGGAAAAGGCAGAGAGAAGGAAAGGTACGATTCTTCCCGGCCAGAATACAAATACTTTTACATGATATATTGTTCTTTAAGCTATGATCAATTTATTAACACACACCCATTGAATGTGTTGCATAGCAAATACAGCTCATCCTTCTTTACTCTTACAGTCCCTGCAATTAATTCATTAAACAGCCAAGGTTCTGAATCGGGTGGGTTTGCATATATAATAAGGCGGACTATGCGTATTAAAAGTGTACTTATTTATGCCTAGTTTAATGAGAGTCCCATGTCGTAAAATGCGCAAATGAATGACAGCTTTCGTAAACATAAAATGTTGGTGTAAAATTTAGATATCTTCAGTTATTTTCGGAAACAAATGTTACAGTGCTCAATAGTGCGACGGGTAAAGGAACCAGACCATATCATGGATGCGTGACCAGACGCTAACCCGTATGCAAATCACACACCGAGCTCACGCAAGCGTTAAAAAATCATCGGACGCTTTATAGGATACAAAAATGTTGTACAGCTGGTTTAAAATTTTAATACACTTATTTCCCCAACATTTCGCTTTTCATTTCACTTCGCTTTTAGAGAAAACTCCCAAATGCAGCGAAGTCAGTGAAAATACTGATTCGACTGCAAGTTTAATTTTTAAATCATTCTCCCCATCCGATGGTTTAGTTTCTCCCAGATCAGCAGTGTCCGTATCATACAATTTGGGATGGGGATTGTTTGTAGTTTGATATCTTTCTGATCAAAAAACCCTGTCTATGATAGAAAGATGTCTGTAACGATAGTTACGACCGTATTTAGGTGGATAATCTGATAAGCTGTCTCATATCGTATTTGGTGATCCTTGGATGCATATATTTCAAGGGTCTTTTAGAGAACATTACATTATATTTAACTGAATAAAATAATTCAGTTCATTCCTGATCTTTTGGTTCCTGATTTTTAGATCGGGCAAGTGATGTTGTGAACGCGATGATAGTAGGTAAGTGTTCCGAACTAGCCTGAGTGCAGAGCAATTTGGCGTGTATACTACTACCCCCTGAATGGGATGCGAGACCATGCAGCGGCATGTCATCTGTACCAATTATACACTTGAACCTGTTTGTTCAAAATGCGGATAGCACTAGCCAAAGGATAAATCACTATCCAGTATTAGAAATTGTGCTTTGGGTACAATATGTTGTTGTTATTGTACAGGCAATTGAGTTATCCAGTGGATAGAGATTTATCGGTGGATCCAGCTTTTTTGACAAACCGAGCCCTGGTCTCATTTGGTCAAAGGGTGGATGTGCTATCCTCTAGATAAATCTCTATCCATAGAGTTAATAACGCAATTATTTTTTGAGACACTTATACAGCGGATAGTGATTTATTTATTGGATGTTACATTCCAACTTTCGAACAATTGGGGTCTGACAGGTGAAGACAGACGTAGCGGAGCATAGTAGGATCATAGTTTTTGCTTCGGCCTCTGTAAGCTGGATATTTTCCCGCCGAAACAAGACCCCTAAGAGTGACTCCTTGACACTTTCGTTTCATATTTCGTTTATACTGCAAGCACTTTTCATCTGAAGAGAATCTGTAAGTAGACGTAGTTTCAATAATTTATCTTCTTTGCAACTAAAAGAATCAGCGATATTAAGACCCTACTCAGAACATTTCTCGCTCATCGCATGGGTTGACCTTTGTCTTTAGATGAATTACCCTGCGCGGCAGGCGCTTGGAGGATTTGGATGCGACAGAGAACGGGGCGCGCCACGGAGACACTCCTAGATTAGCATGCATTTTATTGCTTCTTTGTTGAGTTGTTAGTTGCTTCTTTTTGTTTTAAAATTTCAGCTCCTACTACGGCCGTGTGCTCGACAGTTAAACGGACTTGGGAACAATTAATTGGAGGTAACTAATATTATCAAATAGAGCATCTGTGTGCATTGCCAAGCCAAGTGGCGTAATTTATTCTTTATATTTAGATATTCATAGTTCCGCATATTTTTTGTTATAGCCTATAACAAAAAATAGAACTAAAGTTATTCTATAGCAAGGCGCAATAAAGCGAAATTTCCCACTAAGCTGTTTTCTTTTTTTATAAATCTATTGATTCCAACAGCTGTAAAGATACTCTGTAAATTTTCTACGGTAAGTGGAATATCTGTGGCAGTTGGGACGGGAATTATCCTCCAACAAGGCGCCCGAGCTACACTCAGAGAATTTGTTGATGCTTTCAAAGAGGCAGTCCTTCCAGCAGCGACAAATCTACGGACATTGAGTGAGAGTTCACTGTGCTTGACAGTACAAGCAGAGAATAAGCAGGGTCTTAAGGCATTATGGGAGCGATATCAAGATGGCACATTGCAGAGAAATCTGCAACAGTTTCTTGTGACGGATGACATCAGACAGCTGGCCGGTGGAGAGGAAGTAATTCTAAGTGCTTACATTGATGAGCAAGATTACAATAGCGCTTGGTTGAGTATTTTGATTGCTGAACAACAAGGTGAATAAATTATGATGCGCAATGTTACTTGTATAAAAACAACGACTAAAGGGCAACTCTTGAAACCTTTGGGCGGAGATGGGGGCTCGAAGTAGGGGCGGGAGTTGGATGACGCTAGGACGTTGGGCCTAGCCACTCGTTTGTTTTTTGGAAAACTATTGGTATAATATACTGGCAATGGGTTGTTATGGTTTCGAAATATAACGTCAGTTTTGAAAGGATGCGAAAAACATTAAATTATAACACATTTTATAATTTAAGAGTAAAAAGCTACACACTTTCATTATCATAAAGCTACTATTTGTTTCTCAGTCTTACAAGAGGAAAATCAAGAAATTTTACCAAAGAGAGCTAGACGGAACTCCGATTCCTCTCTACACGCAACAAGATCAAACGAAAAGTTAGTTGTTATAACACAAAGAGAACAGATCAAGCTTTATCAAGAAAGAATAAAAGCATTGGAAGAAGAAATCGAGAAAATGAGAGCACAGGGTAAGCAGCGAAGTAAACTCTAGAATCTAAATAAATTAAACTTACAACTGGAGGAGATCAGTAACAGTATATCATAACGAATTTACGCCATTGATTTTTGAAGACAATCGCCATGTCCATTAACAAGGTAATGGAGTAAAATGCACTCAGCTGCTAAAATGACCATAGGGATGTAGCTGTCCTTGGGTACGACTACTCAGGGTACGAAGAGCATAAAATGCCCAAGCATGAAAATCTGAGCTGGTAACAATCTTCGAATCTTAGCCTGCGTAGCATGGCGGTTTTGGTTGGGCGCGCAAACTAATTAAGGCTGGCGAGGGGGCACTTTGCGCGCGTTTTTGCGGTTTCGCCGCTCACTAGTTCTCCTGACAAAACTGCCAAACTACACAGGCTATTGAATCTTTGAATAAAAGAATGTGGTTTTTAGGCTTGGTTTGCTTCAACATGTACACTTTCGCTCATAAACGTGGTTCCGTGTAAAGCATGACAAAGTTGAAGCATAAACAAAACCTGGATCGGACCCGCTCGGATCAAACGCCTGTATTCCACTAAATGACTTAGGGGTTAGTGACAGTGTTTCAGGGGTTGATCTCATCCGGTCGATTCATGTTTCGTCAACGTTCACAAAATCGATCCATAGTGGATACTGTCAGTCTGAAAACTACATGACACGTTCCCCTTTCAACGCTCTAAATTAATCATGTACCGTATTTTCCTCTTTAATGTATCATGCATCTTTTGGGACGTGTTAATTTAAAACGAAAAGATGGCGTAATATTGAGGATCGGAGAGAATCCGGTACGGAAGCTAAAGCTCTGCTGTGCGCTACAAGAATCCCAGTAGAAAGGCATCGGCATACACTTAAGTCGATAAACAGCCATTACTTATTCGGCAAATTCGGTGTAGTTTTCTTAAATATTTGTTGTCACGTTTTGGCAATGATTCTTTAAATAACAACTTTGAATTTAAGAATGATCCAAGTCCGTTCTGTGCTTTATTGGATCTATTGGCTTTATGTCGAGGGCAAACATTTGGTTATTTCACTGACTTCTTGATTTGTTCCTTTATGACCATAGTGGATAAATATGCGTCATCATGGAGGCAAGAAATAAAGAGTCAAAAAGGCTCAGGACTGAAGAGATTCAGACCTTCCTCAGATTGGCAGATTGAAGAATTTAAAGGTACGTGGGACTGTAAAGAAGAAAGTGACTTGCCAACGGAGAGTTTTTGTCAACTAGTTTTCCTAAAAAAATTGTGACGGAAGCCAGTCTTTTTGTTATAAACATAGGGGTAACTTATAATGACCCAACCAACTGCCTGGAAGAAGGCTACCACCCAAATCCACCTTGACCTCAAAGGTAAAGTTTCCGGCTAATTGCGAGCCAAGTCGGGGTCATCCGGCCGGAGCTTATCGTGGTTTCCGAAGTACTAAGTGAAGCGACTCGTAATATTTCTATTCCCCCCTGGACTTCATGCCAGACAATCGGAGGGCTTACCCCCAACATTAAATTCGCAGGTACCTATCTATACACTAGGCCACGGTAGTTCAAACATTGGATAACGCTAACCACCAGATAAATCATTACCATGCAGACAAGCATTAAGGAAACCAATTGTGCTATCCAGTAAATAGAGATTTATACGTACAGTGGGTAGCGTTATCGATTTTTCGAACAACTGGGCCCTAGGCAAGAACACAGTACACTAACCATTTAGCCACCTGCCTCCCATCGTAGGTTGTCAACAATAGGGAGTTTACGCAACGATGACGGCGGCGGCAAAGAGAACGGCAAAAAAGGCAATAGTTTTAGACATGACAAGCAAAACAACAACTTTGCACGTGCATCACGCTTTTTTGTGCATTTCCCTGCCGTCGCTGCACGACTACAACGTGAAACTGTTTAATTTCGGGTGTTGTCGAAGACGGGAACAAAAGACAACAACTTTCGCAACTTGGGTATTTTTTGGGCGGGTATGTGCCGCCCGGGACTCCAAACTGGCACCCCGTTCTAAAAGCAAATTCCCCTAAAATTGATATCCCGTTCTAGAAATGGGCCAATTTTTTATACTCCGTTCTAGAAAGTTTGTAAATTGAAATAACCTTTTTTTTATAAAATGATATTTCTTTATTTGTTCGACTTATACATCAAATAAATGCTTCTTCATAATCAGCAACAATTTTAAGCAGAAGATGAAGCCGTGATCCACAATTTTTTATACCACGTTCTAGAAAACGCCTCTGAAATGGATACCCCGTTCTAAATCAGGAGCTCCAAAATCACGACCCCGTTGGGCGGCACATACCCGTATAGGTAATGTATGGGAGTTTCCCCCGGGCTTAGAACTTGCTTCTATCTGAAAATAGTTCGAAATTCTATTACTAAAAGGCCAAGACAACCTTCAAACACAACAGTTTCAAATATCAATTTATACAAAAGTTAATAATTACTTTAACTCTTGGACTAAATTTCCACTTAATAACCGTAAACCGTCAAAAGCTCTGAAATGTAACCTTCAACTGTCAAAACCGGAGAAAACTAACAGTGTACTGTCAATGCTACATGTACCACCCCATTGAGAGCGTCTACGAAAGTAACAAGAGGTACGAAGAGATACATTAGTTCTGTCAAATATGAAGTAAAGAAAACAACAACAACAAAAAAGACAAATGACTCATTCAAATACAAAGTACTCGTAAAATTACCTGCATTCAACCAATCGCTGACCCAAGCACTTACAATAAGCGACTGAACTATGATCCGCGCATAACTCCTAGGACCCGGGGGGTACTCCCTTTGATGGCCTATACGGGAAGGCTCCGCCAGAAAGGGGTACCTTTTTCAGGCTTCAGGGGTGTGAAAGGGTGGGGATTTCACTTATTGAAGCATGTGAAAGGGTAGGGAAATCTGTCATTTGGGTCTGTAAGAGGCCCAAAAGGGTTAACAAATGAATTTTATGGCCTTAAAAAGTCGAGAAAACGTTTTATTTTTGTGATTGATTCGTATTTGAAAGACAGTGCGTTTACAGCAGTTAAAAGGGATGCAAAGTTCTAAACAAGGTATTGTGAAAGGAGTACCATTTGTCAATAGAAGGTATACGAAAGGGGTACCTTTTTCGCGAAAAATGGTTTATAAAAGGGTAAGGAGTTGGACCTCGGTGCGGAACATTTGTTGAGTACCCACCCTGGTTCTAGGATTACATTTAAGAAATGTTAAAACAGTTATTGAAACATTGGTTATTCATAATATTACAGACTCTGAAAGGTCTACAAAAAGGCGTCGTAGAAACTCTGATTCCCAATTATACTGTAAGTCAAAAGATGAGGAAATCAGCGAAAGAGACAAAGAGCAGGATCCATTTCTTGCAGAAGAGAAATATTCTTTCGTTCAGAGATATCTTGAGCAAGTCCATGACACGCGCAGTGCGGTAACATCTACAGGTGAAAGTGGATTCGTTACAGAAGGAACAGCAACTGAAGTAGGTCATTTGGAGGACGTAGCTGGTAAGTAACGTTAAAGCAATTATGAAGTATTAGGTTAGCCTGCGTAGCAAGCTTTTCCAGTCGAGTTATTGCCCGAACTTTCTCGACGAACTCGCGCGGAAACACTTGCTACGCGGGCTTGTTACATTTATTGGGTAAACGAATGTAGATACCGTAAATAACTGATCTAACATCATTGTTTTGTGATCGATCGGTTTGTTGAGTTTAGTATCACTGTAGATATTTTGTTGTTAAATAACACGAATTCAACGGCTATCACTTACTTTAAAACTGTAAAAATACTGTTTCAGTTTTACCAACTGCAAAACAATATTCTCATGCACACAAGATGAAATTTTATTTTTTTCCATCCCGTCCCCCCGCTACCGGCAAGAGTTACCTCAAATGATCTCAAATAATCAGCATAACGCTTATTCTTAAAATCACAATCAAATTTACAATAAGCCCATCATGCCTTATTCGGGTAGAAGTTCTTGCAAACCTCTTCGAAGTTGCTTTGTCTTTCCCAGACTTGGCTTCATAACAAAAGGTTTGAGTGTACAGACGGATCTTTGCTTTCTTGAAGCTCAGCTCATTTGGCTGCTTCACTGTGTAACTATCTCCTAATTTTGTATAAACATTCTGCCAAGTTTAAAGTGCCTCTCTTATTGTTATCCCTACATCACTGTGCCTTTTTTTTATTTTAAATGATTTATTAATAATGTTTTTCAGATCCTACGCCCAGATTGTCACATGTGAACGAAAGAGTTATTTCTGAGATACGAGAAAGACTTAACAGGGACCGTGATGCTTTCAAACGTGTCCTACAATCGTTTGGGATCACCAAAAACCCATTACCTTTGAGGAATTTTTCTAGTATTTTTCAATTGTTCCCAGACACCCCAGTGACGATGCTGAAAGACGTATTTGAGGCATTACAGCTGTATGACCTCCTAGAATTCCTAGAATTGAAATCGGCGATAGAACCACACAGTTCACTTCAGCTAGCATACACATTAGATGAGATTAAGAAACGGAATGGAGTGGCTGATCTTCCTACAACTTACCACAGTTGTGGAGCTGTTCTCATCATTACCGACGACGAAAATGTTTCTAGTGCATCAGCAATCAAAACCTTTTTTACTGATCTTGATAATAAGAGTGATGTAACTGAAATACTGACAAAGGACATCCCGACTTTGAGGCATTTAAACGAGGAAATCAATGTAATGATACTGGAAATCGGAAATTTATTGAAGGGGGAAAGACAGGGGCTTACTGAAACGTCCCTTTCTCCTTCTTTATGGACGTTGAAGTTCGCTTTAAACGAGTTAAGGCCGGGGATCCGACTAGGAGGAAGTCGTGTTCAGGACGTTTTTTTAAGGTTAATGCAATCAATGAATGGCATAGTGAGCTTTGTCAGAATGAAGCTGAGACTAGTAACTGATGAATTAAAAAGTTCTTTACAATCGACGATTGTCACTGCAGAGAGGATCCAAGCAAATCTTACAAAGCTAATCCAAAATCCTGAATGGTTTGTCATAGAAGACGAAAAGGAGAAAAAGAACTTTCAAGAGAACGTATCAGCTGTTATCAACAGATGGATTCATCGTCATGGTTAGTATGAAAAGTTTGGTATCCGCATAACTGGTGGTCAGTGGGACACCGGCAACGGCAACACCAGAGGCTATACCCGACCCTTTAACTGCTTATAAACCGGTGAGACGGAGCCTGGAAGAAAAAGCGATTGAAAATATCATTAGGTTTGCTTTTAAACCCAAAACTCCACATTTAAGAGCACTGCAAAAAGTGGTAATCATGCATTAAAAGATTGTAGTTTCAGCCGCTGACTGTTTTCCTTCGCGGGACTGAAAAAACGCGCACGTATCCTTAATGGTCTACAGTTATCCGAGTAAACGAAGTTTTAATTTCCACGGCAAGAAAAGCGGCACTTTTGCCACTGAGAAAACGAAGAAGGTGCAATTTACCTGCATTTTCTAAGATTCACCCAGCGGAAAATCCTTCTTTTTCCAAAAGTTTTCACTCCCCTTAATTCGAGTATTCGTTCCATTATCCATGTGAATGTCTTGTTTTCCGGTATTTACACTGAGTTTTCACACGGAAAAACCTCGAGTTCACCGCAGTTAACGAGTGAAATTCTGCCTTTTGCGGACGTTTTCCTGTGTTGTACGAAACGGTGAATGCGGCTGAATCCTGGAAAAACGCATGTATTCCAGCGTTCTCCGATCGCTTACCGCTAGGAGAACTGCGCATTATTACGACTTTTGCAAGCAGTTTTCTTACGTTTTCCTTCATTTGCCGTGACAGTGAAACTTGGGCCTCTGGGAAATGGTCTGTTTATTTTGTAAGTTTATGCTCATTATTTTCTGGTCTATAAATACATGTAATAATTATGTTTATTTGCAGATGACTACTCCTTCTTTGCAGTGTTCCATTTTCCTTCTGACCCTTATTACCGGCCTATGCCTGAGGCCATACTGAGTGAGCTGATGTCTGCAATTACTAACAAACTTAAGTTTGTTGTTTGTCCCAGCGACATATCCGCCTCTCTGTATGATGTTCTTTCGGGTCCGGAAACCCTTCTGGTTGCTTTATACTATTGGGATCCGGCACTAACAAATGTGAAAATGGTGACGGAGATCCTTAACAAGCGTTGGCAGACCCTCGATGTGACATCCATGATTTCAGAGCTTCATAGGTCCTATTTGGAGTTCGTGGTAACGAAAGACACTTTGTCATCTGTCCATCGTTTTAAGCGAAAAGAAGGCGCCAGCTTGTCATAAAAGAATTGGAATATCTATGATTAATTCCAAGTTAACAAACAACACATCACTGACTTCCTAAGGAGGGTAACCTTGGTAATGGTGCTTATTTTAAAACTCGCTTTTTTCTTTTCGTTTTGTTGTTGCCGTTTGCTTCTCACTTTTCGTTAAACTTGGTCAAAAATATATCTCGTAAACTTATTTCGATGCCTTTTGATTTCAGTAAAGGTATTTATTTGGCAGTTGTCACATTTTGTGAAGCAGAAGTGCTTAGCAGTGGTTTTCAAATGCGCACGGAAATATAGCTCTTGCTAGCAAATTATTCCACAGTTTAGATGATAAATATTGAAATATTGGTGCTTGAAACTGAACGTTAACTGTAAATGTGTGAATAAAAATAAACTTAAACGCTCATGTTTCGTTTGGCTCTTGCCTCACATCGCACCGGCTGTAATATCTGGCGAAACGTTTCCAGCGTTATTGGTATCCGAAGAGAGTTCTGGGTCATTGAAGGTTCCTTCGGCCCTCGGTTCGCGAGGGAAAAAAGAAGTTTGAATCGGATGTTTTCCAGGCTATTCCAAAGAATTATATGAGGGTCTGAATGGGGGGGATCCACTTGTCGGTTGTCGGTTAAAATTCGTAAATCACCTTTAATAAGTAAAACTGCATGTTAATTATCAATAGTTCTTACGTATTTCACCCAGTTTCAAGACTTTGATCCTCATAAAACGTGTAAAACTTGTAAGAGTGCATCATTTCATTAATTCATTGCACTTTTAATGATCATGTTGCATAAACAATTCAGAGTTAATCAAGTTTTTTTTTCTTTGTTTGCCAAATATAGTGCCGATGAAATCGCCAAAGCTTTTATTGTAAATTGCAAATGCGAACTTGGTTTCCCTGTTGATTGCAGGGCACAATAAAAAGTAGCCTGGAGAGATTAACTGGACCCAGAGGAAAACGCCCACTCTAGCCTTTTGGATACGTAACTTATTTTTAGGGAAAAACTGCAAGGGGTGACAGGCTGCACATCTATACTGGCGTGAAACTGTCTGTTGACCTTTAGTATTTTGGCTCTATAGCGGGCATGCCCTGTAATGATCTTCCTTTGTTGTAGGAAGTAATAGGTGGTTCTTTAAAATTAGGCAAAGTAGGGTTTTGTTTGCATGATTCCACTATTCCATTAAGGTTTCTTTTACAGTGGACACTTAGGGTTGGTACTGTCACGAAAGGCAAAATTTATTTTTCTTCCTTGTTGTTTTCTTTCAGGAACGAGGATTTCTTTTGAGTTTATTTCTGAAAGCAGCTTTTCTTTCAAATTGTGTGGGTAGCCTCTGCCCATCAAGCGGTTTTGAAATTGAAATACTTTCCTCAACGTTTCTTCAAAGGAGTTTGTAAGGCAAATCCATTTTAACACTTTGTGGGTGACAAAAGGTGAAATGTGTGTACTGGAAGGTTCCCGTTTGTTTAAAATGTGTCTTCACATCAAGGATAGCTTTTTCGCTGAATCTCTTGCGTGTCTTAGTTTCAGATATTTCGGCCGGGAATTTAATAGTAGGTTGATGTAAGTTTGCTTGTTCGAAGAAACTCGGCTACGATGTCTGATTTAGTTATGCCCCTCAGGGAAAAAATATGTCGTCTAAAGTATGTAGTGTTTCCAAACTGTTGGTTTAAAGACGGTTTTGCTTAGAATTTTTGTTTCAATATATGCCATGAAAATATTGGCAAAGGAAACTGTTGTCTTTGTGCCCATCGCTGTACCGCGGGTGGTGTTTTTCATTGAACTAGAGAGAATTTTTTTTCAGGATTAATCTAAGCGTTTCCAGCAGGTAATGTGTAGCCACTACCCTCGTTTTGTGGCGTATTTGCGAAGACTTGTGACGTCCACTGAAACATGAAATGTTCGATTGTTCACCTTTTTAGAAAAATATAATTTATAAAGTCGGTAGGATCTTTAAAGTATGACTTCCGTGATTTTGATACTGGTTGTAGCAACTGATGTAAAAGTATTAACAAAGGAGGAAATTCTTTCCGTTGGCCTAACTTATAAGTCATGAATTTAATCTGGTTACTTCCTATAAGTAAGAAAAAATTCAAAGTGCTCTTCTTTATGAAAACAAATATCAATAATGTCGGTTCAAATATTAATTGACCACAAATGTAATAAAGCCCTGACATGTAATGAAAATTGACCACAAATGTAATAAAACAGTCAAATACTATCCAAGCCGTATATACTCGAAAGAGCGCCGTCCTCAATTTAAGTCGGACAGAAATAAGCACCGCAGTGCTCTTTCGAAACTCGAAAACAATATCCTATTGCATTTAATCGAAAGAGCGCCGCCCTCAAATCACCTTTAAGTACTAGCTAAAATCAATGAGCACCCCGACGCCCTTTGCAAAAATACATTATTCTACAAATGCTTCTCGTTTTTTACGCTATTTGCGATTTTTTTACAATTTGGTGTGAGTGCTCTGCGCTTATTTTTGTCCGACTTATATTGAGGGCGGCGTTCTTTCGAGTATATACGGTATAGATAGCATTTGCCGGTTTTATTACATTTTTGGTCAATTTTTATTACTTTTGTGGGCTTTATTACATTTTTTGGTCAATTATTGCAATTCGGTTCATGTCGGTAGTCGGTTAGTATTTTTCCTGTCGGTAGTTGGTGATTTTCTTTTCTCGTTTTGTCGGTAGTCAGTATATATTTTTCGCCCTTTGTCGCCAGTAGGTTAACCCCATTCACACCCTCTTTTATGGAGAGAAACGTTTGAGAAAAGACATAGAAAAGGCTACTCCATAGCAAGAGATAATGAGCTAATCTTAGCTCATTCTTCTTGTCCATAGTCAGTAACTCAACGTTATTTGAGATGAATGTTATAAATGTTATAGCCCATGGACAAAGCAA